CGAGATAAACACCTAAAAATTTAACATTATTTTTCACTGGAATTATAATATTATTGTATTTAATGAGGACGGGAGGAGGTAATCGGCATCTAGAAAATAAAACTAATGTGCTTTTTAATGGTGCAAGTTCCAAATTATTTTGGAAAAGCCAGTTTTTTAATTTATGAATGGAAGAATCAAGAACAAATTTAGCTTTATCCATGGACTTATTTATATTATAAATTAACAAATCATTCGCATACTGTAGCAACTTAACATCGTTGCCCAATGAACACTCTAAATCATATGTATAAATATTATATAAAATTGGACTTAAAACTGATCCCTGCGGGATACCTTTCCAAACTATTCTAGCTGGTTCATTAGAATCCCGCAGGGTAATTGAACGCTCTAATAAAATGTTCAAGATAAAATGTATTAACACAAATGGAACTTTTAATTGGTTGAGTTTATGTTTTAGAATTGGGAGGGAAACATTGTCATAGGCAGAGCTTATATCGAAAAAAGCTGCCAATACAGAATTATTATTAGAAAAAGCCAGACGAATATCTGTAGTGAATATCGCCAGACTGTCTATGGTGCTTCTGCCTCTACGAAAACCAAATTGATTTTCTGATTAAACTTATTACTTTCTATAAACCACTCTAACCTATTTTTGATTAAATGTTCAGCAATTTTTAAATCAAAAGATGAAAGAGCTATTCGTCTATATGATAAATTATTATCAGCAGGTTTATTGGGCTTTAATATAGGAATTATCTCCTGCTCTTTCCATTGTTGTGGAATTTTTCCAGATTCCATAACAGAGTTTAAAATATTCAAAAAATATAGAAGGCATGTATCGCTCATATGAGTAAAAAAGGAATAAACTTACCCTTCGAAAAAATATTTACACTAGCTACAAATTATAAACTAAAAAGAACTAAAATAACAAATATTTACACTACTTTACACCTATCTGATCTATAAAAGATTTTTTTCAAATTTTAAATTCAAAAAAAACACTCCCGCTCTTTCGACGTTTCCCGTGCTTTTTCGAGATGGGACTTCCTTATTAGACAAAAATATCAGTTTACGCGGCACTCCAATACCAACCATACCACAAAAATGTCAAACAACATGAGTACCAACGTAACGAGCCAAATAGTGCTTTACCAAGCTAGCTTAGCTTCTTATCGATATCGATAAAAGATACTAGGTAGAAACCGAGGTTTCCACTTAAATTTTTTTTATTAATTTTAGTAGGCAAGTATCGAGTCCTTATTTATGTCCAATGTTGATGAGGGTATTTGGTAGAAAATTGTACTTGAATACGGACCCGAAATAAGATAAAAAAAGGTTTCTGTTAATTAAAATAAATTTTTTTTACTGAAATGAAATTTGTTTCTTGATTCTTCAGCCAACAGCTGTGGTCCTGCTGTACACGAGTCTGGAAATAATTGAAACTTAAAAATAGAATCAAAATCCAAAACTTCTTTTAGTTTTCTTGCATACTCAGCGCACGAAATTAATTATATGACGTATCAATATTACAGAGATTAGGTTTCAAAATCATGCAAAATTCACCTATTCCGATCCTTGCTTCTTTATGTAAGCACACCTTTCAAATATGTAAAACTTTGTGCCCCTACTCTTCTTTTTTTTTTTTTTTTGTTAAATTTGTTAATTTTATATGTTCTTAGCCTGCTCTACTTACATGTGGCTGCAAAGTATCATATTTGAGTGCTTACATGGGCTTCATCTAAGGGAAATCTCGCCATAAACATCCTTTTTTCAAGATGCGATTGACTTGCTCGATTTTCACCTATTTCACAGGTAATAAACCGTCTCTTAGTCATTTTGAATTAAAAGTACAACTCTGATCACCTGTCACTAGTTGTCGTGAGAAAATTTACTCTAAAAAATTGAAATTATCAATGAAATAAGCATTTACATTCACAATACGCGGTGCGAAATTATGTTTTGACAAACAACATAGCACTTCTTGTAATGCAAGAAAGAGAATCCGCATTGAGGGAGAGTGATAGCAATGTCCGCCATTATTTGCCGCGTGAAGTCCATAGAAAAATTTTTTGTTCCTAGTTTCGCCAGACTGGGCGGTACGAACGTCAACGCGGTCGCTACTCGCTAGTGTTTTGTGGTTTCCATCCATCTATTCTCGTGTTGTATTTTGTTGCCTAGAGTTTTTTTTTATCTAAGTTGAAATTAAGTTAACAATTATAATAAAAGAAAATAACATCCAAAAAATTAAATATATTCCGCATAAAATTCGTCAAATGTTATTTATATTGCATGTTACCATTGCCTAGAAAGTTTTTGCAGAGGTAAAAATTTTGAATAGTTATAATGGCTAGCCAATGGGGACAAAAAGCTGAAGAATTGGAAATCTCTAATAAAGTAGCTGGTTTGGGATTGTCCAAGAAGGGGGAAAACCAAACGTTTGACTCCGATGATGGTCCAGATACCGCGAATCCAGCAGAAGCATCACTTTTATTAAAAATAATAAGACAGGGATTGGTTGAATCAAAACTTGATATTGAAGTTCAAAGAAAAGACCCAAATTCACCATTATATTCTGTCAAAACATTTGAAGCTCTTCATTTAAAACCAAATTTACTCAAAGGTGTTTATGCTATGGGATTTAATGCTCCTTCAAAAATTCAGGAGACGGCATTGCCAACACTTCTAGCAGATCCCCCCCAAAACATGATAGCTCAATCACAATCTGGGACTGGAAAAACTGCTGCCTTTGTACTTGCTATGTTAAGCAGAGTGGACTCTTCTAAGAACTATCCACAAGTGTTGTGTCTAAGTCCTACATATGAACTTGCAATCCAAACTGGTGAAGTTGCTGCAAAAATGGCAAAATTTTGTCCAGAAATCAAACTCAAATATGCTGTTAGGGGGGAAGAAGTTCCAAAAGGCACAAAAATCGCAGATCATATTATAATAGGTACTCCAGGTAAAATGTTTGACTGGGGAGTTAAATTTGGAATGTTTGATTTAAATAAAATCAAGGTATTTGTACTGGATGAAGCTGATGTAATGATTGATCGTCAAGGTCACCAGGAGCAGTGTATAAGAATCCATAAATGCTTACCGCCTACATGTCAAATGATGTTCTTTTCTGCTACATATAATAGCGCTGTAATGGAGTTTGCTGAGATAATTGTTCCCAATCCAATTATTATAAGACTGCTAAGAGAAGAGGAATCTTTAGATAATATCAAACAATATTATGTAAAATGTAAAAGTGCAGAAGACAAGTATAGAGCTATTTGTAATATTTATGGAGTTATTACAATTGGTCAAGCTATTATATTTTGTCACACTAGAAAGACAGCAAGTTGGCTTTCAGAAAAAATGTCTCGGGATGGACATTCTGTAGCTGTTTTATCAGGAGAATTAACAGTTGAACAAAGAATAGCAGTGTTAGATCGCTTTAGAGCAGGCCTTGAAAAAGTGTTAATCACAACTAATGTTTTGTCTCGTGGAATTGATGTAGAACAAGTAACATTGGTGGTAAACTTTGATATGCCTATGGATATGGATAGAAAAGCCGATTGTGAAACATATTTGCATAGAATTGGACGTACTGGCCGATTTGGAAAAGCTGGAATAGCTATTAATCTAATTGATTCACCATTAGCCATGGAAATTTCTTTGGACATTGAAAAACACTTTGGCAAAAAAATACAATTGTTGGATATTGAAGATGCTGAGGAAATTGAAAAAATTGGTGCATAAATTGTTCAATAATTTACTTTTTATATCCATCCTTTTTGCTAAATGTAAATTGCTGTTGGATTTTCTAAAAAATGATGTGTATTAAAGAAATGCCTCTTTTATTTATGAAAATATTTAATTATTATGAGACTCAATGACGTTGCATTTTAACACACATTAATCACATTGATGTTGTATTTTACCACATGCTTGTATGTGTGTGGATCTGAGCATTTCTCTATGTGAATTTTGTGTATGTAAACTGTCACATGATAAATTCATCCTATTGCAGAAGCCATGCTTAGAAAACAAAATGATACTCTGAACGGGTTTTTTTATAAAATAATTTTAAATAAATACTGTCACAACCGCATCCATCCTAATAGAAGGGCAAAATGAAAACAACTGTTTTATTATTGTTTCTATTTTCTATTTAAGCGCTAGGCTCTTGATGGTGCACCATCCATTTCAGTCTATCCTGTTACTTGGGTATAGTTTCTAATACCTACATAAAATGTAAAGCAACAACCTATAAATGTCCCACTGCCGAGCAAATGGCCTCCTCTGTAAAGAGGGCATCCATCAGGGCATAGTCCACCACGCAACCCCACGGATTGGTGGATTTCACATATTTTCGAAACATTTTTTTAAACATGCAGGTTTCCTCACGATCTTTTCCTTAACCGTCGAGAATGTGATAATTTAGCGCTTAAAATTAACAATTTCATTGGTGTTCGCACCGGGGATCAAACTCAGGTTGCTTGAGTAAATGTAATTAAAGAAGCTCCTGGACACAGCTGTTATGGCTCTTGTAATACATAATACATATAACTTGATATAATTTTGATAGTCTGTATATATTTAACTTGTAACTTTGTTAATGTTTTATATTGTGATGATTGTGGCAGGATATTGCTTCATGGCAGTCTGCGGGGGAGGCCTATGTCCAGCAATGAACTAAAAGAGATATTCCATTTGTATTTTTGTATGTCATAATGGAGAATTCAATAATAGATCTTATATGAACTAAATATTAATCCTAAAAATAGCAGGCCCAATGATTATGTAAATTGACAATGTGTTGTGTGTGCAAATTTATTTATTCTATAAAAACTGACATTCAGAAATTTATTTTTATGTATTATATTATTTTATTGAAATCAAAATAAAACAGTTTTTAATCTATTTTATTCACAAAATTCAGCTTATTTATATAACATAATTTAAAGCATATAAATAAATAACTTCAATTATAAATACATTTGCTAAAATTAACGTGCAGGTTGAGCTGGTGTTTCTGGATTTGTGGCACCAGATAGCATAACAAATATAGCAATTGGCACAATGTACATCCACTGAAAAAAAGGAAAAATTAATGGCTTAAAAATTACACTTCATGAAGTAAAAATATAAATCTAAACAATGAATATTAATGTCATCAAGCTCATTGTAAGAAAAATTCGAAAGATTTTCTGATCATTTATAATGTAAGTATGTATGTATAATTATTATTTTTTGTTTCATCTTATGTGCAGAGATTAGCACTTTAAATCTAAAATAAAATTTAAGACTCACATATTTAGCTAAAAATGACCTATTGTCTTTTAACTCTCCCTTCTCTCTTGCTTCTCTTTCCCGCTCCAACTTCTGTATATATGAAGCTGTATCTGGACTGAAAACAAATCACATATGACTTATCTAAAAATTTATTTAATTTAATATCTTAAGACAACAAATACATACACTGCTGCTGGTTCAACTTGGCGTAAGTAGAAGTTTGATGTTATTTTATTGACACTGCCCACATTTCTAGGTAAACGAGTCTGAGATGAGTTATTAACTTGGAAACTGACTGCAATTACTGCTCCATTTGGTAGAACCCATGCATTTATAACATCAGAAAGTCCATTATCCAGAAAAGTCTTGGCTTTAACAGATGATAAAAATTCACTTTCTTTGGTATCAGCAGTAGTGACTAAAGACCTGATAGTGTAAAAACCATTAACTGCTGCCAATTCCTAAAAATTATATTAAGAATGTGAACAAGAAATAAGCAATTTCATTCATTTTAAAATGATTATTTAAATTTGAAACAATTACATTCAATTCATTTATGTGTTGCTCATTAAATTGCATCTGTTCAATTATGGGAGTCCCAGCTCTGAGGCTTTGTAAGGAAATAGTACCTCTAGCGCAGTACTTTTCGCCACCACAGTTGATTGAATGCTGAATTTTTATATTCATCCATCCATCATAGTCTATACACGCCTGTAAAACAACACATTGATCAAAACGCGTAACGCAAAATTGAAAAAAAAGCGTTTTACACCGACATATTACGGGCATACTAATATCATAATAATAATTTTGAAAAATATTTTTGATTAAATAAACTATTTTATCTTAATCATACATTAAAGATTTAACAATTAAAGATTTAACGAAGAAGAGATTTAACGATTAAAAATTTAACTTAATCATACATTAAAGCAGAGCTAGATATGTACCGCAAATTGTAACAAAAGACTTAAAACAAACGCTTGTAGGTGTTTCATATTGGTTGACCGATACAAAATTACAAATACTATAGCTGAGCTGAGAAATTAATAAATTAAGTTTACGTATAGTACTGGATTTTTTTAACAATAGGTAACAGATAAATAAAAGTACTCTTTGCTAATTTGCTATGAAGTAGTGTTGCATATCGATAGTCGGCTATCGATAGTTAAGGTAAAAGCAATAGTATCGATAGTCTATCGAAAGTATTGTCACGTGTCAATACTGTCGATACTACCAATAGTATCGATGGCTCTCTTAGCGCCAATACTATTGATAACAACAATACTATCGATAGTATCGATAGTAATGCATGCGATAGGATCGATGATATCGATAGTATTGCAACTACCATTAGTTTTTGGCTACAACTATCGATAATATCGATGATTTTGTACTACCAATAGACTTTAACTGGCTATCGATAGTACAAACCTATCGAGGCTATTGACATTTTTATAAATATCGATATATCGATATTTTTTTCAACTTTCGGTATCCCTATATTACATATTTTTTTCCCATAAAAATAAAAAAAAAATTACAATGCAGTAATGCTACTTCTTGTATCTTATCCTATAAACGAGCAAGTCTTGTATATATATATATACGAGGTCTGTTCAAAAAGTATCGCAAATTTTTAATGTCCACGGGTTACGTATTTTCGATTTTCGAATTTTTTGTGGTATTATGATGATACTGAAACTGAAAGTTCAGTTAATTTTTTACAGCTGCTTTTTTTGCATGTTTTTTGGCTCGTCTTCGATTTTTGCCTATTCCAAAAAATGTATCAAAGAATCTGTATTAAATTTTGTGTTGAAAACAAAATTAAGTGCGCAGACGCATTCCGAACGTTGACTGTGGCATATGGTGAAGCTACCTTGGACAGAAGCAACGTTTATCGGTGGTACAAAATGTTCTCATAGGGTCGAGAAGATGTGAACGATGAAGAGCGTGTCGGACGCCGAGCACTTCAACAACAGACGAAAGCATTGTTTAAGTGAAGAAAACAGTATTGGCCAATCGTCGAATCACCGTGAGAGAAGTTGCTGAGGATCTAAACATATCGATTGGCTCATGCTATTTGATTTTTACCGATGAATTAGGCATGAGACGGGTCGCCGCAAAATTGCTCAATTTCATTAAAAAACAGAACTGCACTAACAATCGCACATTGAACAGACATTGCTAACGAGCTGATGGAGTTTGTCCGCGGTGATCCAAATTTGCTCCAGAGGGTCATAACTGGTGATAAAACATGGGTTGTGACGCCGAAATCAGAGCCCAATCATCCCAATGGAAGCTATCCCACGAGCCGAGACCGAAAGAAGCGCGTCAAGTTAGGTCGAATGTGAAGGTCAATAAGGAATATTATTTGCAAGTAATGCGCAATTTACGCGAAATAATCCGCCAGAAACGGCCGGAATTGTGGAAGAACAAAAATTGACTTTTGCATCATTGTAACGCCTCTTCTCGCACATCGTTGCTTGTGCGCGAATTTTTGGCTAAAAACAACACACTAATAATACCACAGCCACCGTATTCCCCAGCTCTGACCCCTGTGACTTTTTCTTGTTCCTGAAACTAAAGAGGCCCATGAAAGGACGACGCTACGCTACGATTGAGGTGATAAAGACGGCATCGAAGGAGGAACTAAACAAGGTCACAAAAAATGAGTTTTCGAAGTGTTTCAAGGTTTAGAAAAAACGTTGGCACCAGTGTATAATATCTGGAGGGGATTACTTTGAGACAAAATAGATATTCATGAATAAATAAGTAATTTTTGAAAAAACACAAAATTCGCGATACTTTTTGAACAGACCTGTATATATATGCGTGAGTTAACTACGGCATGTCATTCAGGCTTCCAGGATTTCGGGACTACGCCTAGAGTATAGGAGAGCCGGAAAAAACGCGTCAAAACCGGTGCCCAATCCGGAGCACATGTCTTCAACACGATCAGGGATGCCATCGGGCCACTCGACTTATGAATGTCCAAGCAAAAGAGCTCTGTGAACTGCACTTTGCCGAAATTCAACCTCCGGCATTGTAGAATCGCAACGCAGGATTGTTGGTGGTAATTTTCCTGGGTCGTCCAAAGTCGAGTTGGACACGAAGAGAGAGCCCAGAAGATCGGCTTTCTCCTTCGCGGCATGGGCCAGCGAGTCAACCTCCGTGTGCAGGGGGGGAAAAGAAGAAATTTCCCAAGACAACTTTGGCGAGAGACCAAAACGCACGTGTTCCCGATGGGAGACGCGCCAATCTCTCGCCAATTCTGCCAATGTGTTCAGATTTTGCTTTAGCTATAAAACTTTTGAAGGACCTAGAGGCACTACCGAGGCACTGAGACCAATAGGCACTGCAGAGAACGGAATAAAGAGCCATTCCATACCTTGAAGCACCACATCAGTCACTGAGTCAGCAACGACGTCTGGATCATCCGGCGAAGAGCAAATCTGCCCCCATGGGTAGGCCGCAAATTATGACCGCATTCCATCCCAATGTGTTGACCTATAATGCCATACGCGTCGGCAGTCCGCAAACTGAGGCAGTGTGAAGCGCATTATTGGCTCTGCACTCCGCACAAGACAGTGGTCCGACGAGCCGAGGGGAGGATCGAATCTCGACGGGAACCAAGTATCCGTCCGGACGAGAGGTCAACAGAAGGCCCACCAGGGAAGTTGTATGATCCTCCACATCTGGGATTCACGTTGGCGAGGTGATCAGTAGTGTCAGATCATATGCCAATGCGAAATTGTGAACAGATTTCCCCGCGTGGTCGGTGGTACGAGATCTAAGCCACTCGGCGTGGTGAGCGGTAAAGTCGCCGAGAATTACGATCTCCGCGGATGGGATCTGCTGAAATACGGAATCTGTAGCCATTTGTTAGCTCAAAGAGTCGGTCAGTTTCGGCATTACCGCTATGGGACCTATACAGAGACGGCGTGCAAGGCCATCGCGTAAAGAGCAAAGGTAAGTAAAGGCAGGACTTATGGAACGCCAGCCGTGAGGCGGCGGCTTGTGGAGAGGGTTCCCTTGACTCGTTACGAGCCTATCTGACACTTTGAGTGTGTACAACTTGTAAAGCAAGCCGTTGTGCCAGACCTTGTCGAATGCTTTTGCGACATCGAAAAAAAGAGCTAATATGCTTAGAGTGATTTAGGGCTTTTAGGATATGTTCCGTTAGGCGGTGTAATTGATCAGGATAGGATATTATATTTATTGAGCGGCCGTCTCGGGCCGGCCTTGTACCACAGTGTGGGTCCCTCTTAGCTTCACCGTGGGTGACCAAGCCACGGGGTGAGGGGCTTAGTAGCCCCTCCGGCACGTCATGGCGGGAACCCGGTCTGAGGGGACCTGCGCGGGCACCTGGAGTTTCGCCCGTGCGTTAACGACGAGTGCGGGGGCGGGAATGAATTTTGCGAGCGCGGATTTGGGCAACGTTGATTTCGCGGGAGCTTTTCTCGCGAGAGTTTTCGGGGCCTTAGCGCAGCCTCTGTAGCTAGCCGGGTGGATTGGCAATTTACGCAGTCCGGTGGATTTGCGCAATCTTTCGGCCGCTTGTACTCGGGCGTGCCGTGGTCACCGGTGCATTTGACGCACCTAGGGGTGAGCGAAACAATTATTGGCCGTGTAGCCGTAATGTGGGCAGTTATGGCACTGTGCCACAACGCCTGAATTGCGCGGGTGCTCAATGACTAGGTCGCTGAACCCACAGACCCTCTTCAGGTTGAAGATGGCCTTACCTTTCGGGGTAGGGTCAAGTTCAACCATCACCGTGTCCATAGGGACACGGATTCTTGGGTACCTGAGGCGTCGACCTGCATTCACAGGGTATCCCTGAGTACAGATGTCGATCTTAGCCTTGTCGATATCTAACTATTTGGGGACGCCGTTTATGACTACCCGAAGTTTTCGTTCTTCGGGCAACGAGTAGATATGGAAACCTATCTTATTCTCACGCAAGTACTTCGTTACGCGGTGGAAGTCGTCCGTTGTATCGAGGTATACGCGGATACCCATATTTGTATTTTTCGACCGGGGGTTGCGGATGTTGTGGCGTTTGAACCATGAGCATACTTGATGCCACTTTGCCTTCTCTTGTATTATTATCGGAGGCGGTGGCTTAATTTTTCGCTCGGCGGCGAATTCGGGTAATGGTTGGGCAGCCGCGGCCGCCTTTTTGGTGGGCGTCGCGGTGGGACGGTTAGTTGAGGCAGCCTCGCATTCGGAGTCGCTGTCGGCAGCGGGGCGTTTTTTGCCCTCCTTTTGCGATTTAACGACGGTGATGCCGTCGGCGTTCGCGTTGACTACGGCGGTAGTTTCGACATCCATGTCCGGTTGTGAGTCAGGAATGATGGCGAGGAAGGGGGCCGAGATGGGATGTGCGGAATGTACGATCGTGGCGGTGGACGCGACGGGCATTTCTTGTGTGATGGCGGCGAGGCGCCTGCCAGTGAAGCCGGGCTGTCGCTGGCGAACTCGACGACTAAACATTGCACTTTCGCGAACGCGAGAAAGTTTGCCCACACTTCGGGACATCGTTTGCGAAGGAATTCCCCTAGAAGGGATCCTAGGATCCCCTAGGATCCCTTCTAGGGGAATTCCTCTCGAGCGCATTTCGAGCGCTTGAACCTTTGGGGCTTGCGCCCCGCCGGCACGTTGGTTACTAAATAGGCCTCCCCACCTTGCGGGGAGAGGAGTGTGCCTAAAACTAACAACTAATTCGCCTGCGCTTTAGGTGCGTAACAAGCACACAGTTATTAAATAAAAAATGCCGCCTCTGAGACGAGAAGTGTGTATAGAATTCTACTTACAGAACGGGTACCTGCCTACGAGCACAACGCTACACTAAACTACTGCACTGCTTGCACAAAGATTTAAATTGCAACCGAAGTTGCAAGTAGCGTCTAATTCGGGTGGCATGAGCCCTCCGTCTTAGAGAGAGGTCCGTTCCATACGAGAGCACGAAGCAGAATCAGTAATGCAAAGTTCTAACCATGCATGAATGATTTTAGGTTAGATAACAATTTATTCAAATCAGTATTCTTTAGATCAGTTTAATCTGCGGCCTTTGTCGTCAAGCATTGTTGGATTTACGCATGGAGCAAAAATTTCACTAGGTACGAATTTAACATCATTTATGAAAATACTGGTGCAATAACTCGTATTGATTTATCCTCCTATGAATAGACCAACTCATGTCTTAGAGCAGTTTTTAAATAGCATCTATTAAAATTAAATTTGAGGCTAAGTATGCGTTAAAAATGTATGGAAATTGATTTTATATAGAAATTCTAATTTCTTTGTTATAGAATAATTATTAAATTTATTTTATAATAAATATCGTATATAGATTTGAAATAAATATCGAATTTCTCAAGACAACTCAAATTACTCTAATGTACAGATGCCAACTTAGGAGTTTTTTTCATAAATTTAGGAAAAAAAAATGGAAGGAAAGTAAAGCAAAGGAATTTTTTATGAGGAGAAATTTTTTGAATCGTTTTATGAATAAAATATTCCCCTTTTTGAAAAAAAAATTACACACAAAAATCACAATGTAATAGTTCAAAAATATGCAGTTAAGTGGGAAAAAGATATTTTATTATGAAAATTATTATAACGGCACAATAAAATGTATTTAATTTGTATAAATATTTTTCAAGTCAATGAACAATTTTCAAGGTCAAGTATTTTAATTGAATTAATTTTTAAATAAAACAGTTTTGATTAGCCAGATAATTAATTTTTCTTGTTAGATAATTTTAAAAAAAGGTGAATTTTTCATTTACGAGGTTTTATTTTCAAAACAGTGGATTTTAGGTTTTTGAATTTTTTTCGAAGTTTTTTTTTTTTCAACAAAACACTGCTCTAATCAGTGTGACCATTTGCGGCAGATTTCTGCCATTTGGGCAGATTTCGCACCTTAAGTTTTAGATGTGGCAGATTAGGCTGACGATTCAAAAAAGTGGCAGATTTTGGCAGATTTCAAGGAAATCTTTATTATTTTTTAAATACATTTGTACATATAAATTAATAGTAATATTTAGAATGCATATAATATTCTGTGTCGTATTATTTACTTTTATTAATATTTGGTAGCAAATTATTTTCTGAAGTTACAATTTTCATCCCACGTTATATAGTTCGGAAATTTCCCGATTATTGTATTTTAATGTAGATAAGCTTATGATTATGAACGGTAACAAATCAGCAATAAGGTTTATTTTGTTATTAATATAATTGATCATGTCAATGTCAATGTTTTTGTATTTTCAAATTTTCTATTATTCCATACCTTATTCTCTTTTGGCGCTTAATATCTTCCATGCATGATGAAGAGAAAATACGAGCGTTCGTATCGACATGAGTGTGAACAAGATCTTTTGCTTCCTTCCTGGAATTCTAGAGCTAAGAAGAATCCTGATGTTGCATTTTGCAAAGCTTGCAATTGTAAACTAAATATAATTCTAAAACAGATTTTCAAGTAAAACAAAATTTTTAGTTCTCTTTTAAATTTGCCTATGTTAAATGAGGAAAAGAGGGTCTTCCTAAAGGTAGGCGGATCAAATTTCTGAAAACGTTGAAATCCTCATAATCGCCGCACTTCACTAGACGACAGAGCGAAACCGATGGAGACAGCTCGTCGATCGATTGAAAATGAGTCACGATCCTCAGCAGTGAGGGAACGACCAACAAGAAGATGTTAAATGCCTCATGCGGAACAATGCCTATTTCATTAATTAATCTGTACTGTCTCCAACGATATTATAATATGATGGCATATTTTTGGCATTTTTCGGAGTTGAGTTTGGCAGATTTTTTGCTGGTGTTGGGCAGATTTGCCATTTTTGAAATGGTCACCCTGGTTCTAATCAAATGTCAAACCCAAAGGAAAAGAAAAAGAAGGACCGAAAAGGACCGTCAACTAGCGATGGGTCGTTGAAGGTATTTTCTTCAACTTAACGTTAACGTTGATTCATGTTCGTCAACTAATTGATCAACTAGTTAAATTCGTCAACTAGTTAACGTGACACATAAACAAGTATGTTAAATTGCAAGCCCTTTCTTCTACTAGGGAAAACGAATGAAAGCTATCTATCCATAATTCTAACAAATCTGAATTATTTTTTTTTCTTTTTTTCGAAACCATTTTTTTTCTCATCAAAATCAACCATCATACGCTGGTGTTTAAAGATTGGTACTAAAACACTGATGAAAATATTTAAATATATTTCCGCTTCAAGTACGTTTTAAAGTTAAAGTGGTCAATTTGTTCGATATTTTCGCCTTGCATACATTACAAACAGCTTTTCCGCTAGAAATGTCTTTTTAGGTATGAAGCAATAACTCACTGTTAATACGGTCAATTATTTTGAATTTTGTACCCACAGTCCTCTATACTCTGAAATAATCATAAATTAAAATAAAAAAAACATTAAACACAAAGTAAAATTCTGATAAACGAAACTAATAACATGAAATAAAATTTCAAATATAAATAGTTAAAAATTAACAAATTCACAAAAAAAATGTACTAAACATGAAGTAAAGTTCTAACAATATTTACGCAAAGCCACTAAATATTTTATTCACAACTATTCACAAACTGTCAAACAAAAATAAAAAAAGCGAACTTAAACATGTCCTTCATAAAATTAAACAAACATTTCAACTCAACTCTGTGTCGTTTTTATCAACGTAAGTTTTTTCAACGTAAGGTTTTCAATTCGTTACGCTTATGTTCCGTTGACTTAACATATCGTTGACTGCGTTTTTAAACGAATTGATTTAACGACAAAATTTCCGAAAGGACGTTAACGAATTCAACTAGTTGATTTCAATTCAATGACAGTTAAAGTTAATTCGTTAACAAGAGATCAACGGTTGATTCAACTAGTTCGTTGATTCAACGCCCATCGCTACCGTCAACTGCCTTAGAAGAAGAAGAAGCAAAGACCCTTGAATTTCATAAATTCATACCTAGTTTTAAAATATTAACTTAACTTTTCGTATTCTCATTAATAATCTCAGAATTTCATGAATTTCTGAAGGGGCATTAACCTGCAAAGAAAAGGCGAATGCATAACAAAATAAAATAATAAAATAAGTAAACAAATAAAATATAAGAAACGTAATGGAAGAAGTAGATTCTATCATTTTGCACTTTCTTCAACAATTAAATATGTAAGTTTTAAATTATTTTTTCAATTAAATAACCATGTACTTAATCATCTTGTATCTTGTATTAACTGATGTTTTTGCTTTTAGTCCCCAGACTATTAAAGCTTCAACTGACGCAGGTGGGCTAGCCAGAACCCACGGGTTTGCGTCCTCCGCTATGGGTAGGGCCACGCATGTACTCATGCGTGCGTTTAACTATGATGTGTCATCTAAGGGCCATCGAGGTCGCGGTTCGGACCGACACCCCGATGGCCGTCGACTGTGCAATTAGCTAATCAGTGGCTGGGAGCGGTGAGAACCGCCACGAACGAGGGTGTACCTTGTGTACGCGTTGTGTTGGTTTTACCGTGCTTGGAGGCGAGGACGAACTAGTGTGTTTGTTGTTGCACTAACTGTGGGTGTAGTGTTATCCTTCGGGACCCCCGGAGGTGGGTCCGACGTATCTAAGTCCCCTTCCTCGACCGAGTCGATGAGGGCGTTTGTTGACGTTTGCGTTTGTGTCTGGTTGGTAATTTGACTTAACCATTCAAAATTAATCAGTATCAATTTCATAAAGGTGCATATCAGCGACAGACTACGACATTGCCTACTTATGTTAGAAAATAAATATTATATCTTGTACCGCTACGTGGGGCTCCTATTTCTGGGTGGTTATAAAAAAAATAATCACAAAGTCTAAGGCGGGAGCAGAGCTAACCTAACATGTCTGTGTCGGAACTGTGACCCATTAATAAAAAAAAATAGTGAACAATCGATACTATTATGTATAAATTGTACACAAATGAAAAAAAAAATATTCACTGATAAATGCAAGATAAATTTAGATTTTTTCAAAATCTGGAAGTTTTTGTAGATTTTGGTTTTATAATTTAAAAATATAAGAGAACAAAACCTGTGTCAGTGATCTGCACTTTTACCATGATTTTTCTTTTTATGTGAATGGTTCATGGTTCACCTGATGTTAAGTGAATATTGCTGCCCATGGACATCTGCTACACCTGAGGGTTTGCAGATTCATCGACCTTCTTGGAAATTTAGAATTTTATTTAGCAATTTCATGTTGTCATTTTTTCAGAACTATCAATGATGATGTTAAAAATATTTGTGACCTACCAGTGGAAATAATTGTTGAAGCAGCATCTAAATGTATAAGGACAATAAATCCATTATTGAAAGTACCTAATAAACTACCTCCAGGTGTGTCCCATAGGATTGAAGTAGCAGCCCAAATAGCAGCAATTTGTAAGGTACCACCATTACATAAATATACATGGTTTTTTATTACAATCTAAAATTAAATTGACTTTAACAATTCTCTCAGGATTTAGGTTATAAAAATGATGTTGGGTATCAAACATTTTTATACTATAATGAAGCCGAGTTGCGACAAGTATTTATGTTCTTAATAGAAAAACTACCAAGTGATGACAAACATGTAACTAGTACCACAGCAACAGTACAAAAGAAAAGTGCACTGCTACAGGAAATAAGTAAGAAAATTTCTGAAGATCTAAATACCATGTGGATCCCTTCTAAGTGCAATCCTACGAACCCTACAATAGGAGACTTCAAATTTACAAAAGGTTAATTAGCAGTTCCACTTTAAATTAAAATTTAAAGTTGTTAGGTTAAAACTGATTATTTCTACTTTCAGACAATATGACCAAACTTCAAAGAATTAATGATGAGGATCTTGAAGCAAAAATACAAAAACTCAATAAAATTGTTAAAAAAAATAAAGAGAAAGAGAAACCAAATCAAGAATTGGAAAATGTTGTTGTTGAGAAAATAGACATCACAAAAAGCCTTAAACAGCTGAAAGAAATGGCATTTGTCCTAAGGCAAAAGTTGGACACCCTTCAAAGTGAAAAAAATGTTATGGATGTTGAATATTCACAGGTACTATTCTTTATCACTTTCAGACCTTTCACACTGTTTCCCATAGGGGGTCAAATCTTCTAGTAAAATGTTGTCCATTAATCATGTGTTGTTTTTTATTAGCATTTGTTGCACCTTGCTCCTTGCTAGTAATACTTGGTGAGGTTTAAGCCTTACTCTCCCACCCCTACCCTTAATCATGTGTATAGAACAAGGATCTTAAAAATTTTAGATTTTGTCAGTCGATACAGGTAAGGACCTTGATAAAAATGTTTCGACAGCCTTTTTTCTTTCGGGTGGGGAAATTGACCTGGCAGCAGCTAGTCAAGCTCACATGTCGCTTTTCGGTTTAGAAATTGCATGTTTAAAAAAAAACTACACATGTGTTTTCTCAATACCAACATCTCTCTCTTTCAAGCCTCATATGATTAATGGATGATCCCTAATATAAATTTTGCATATAACATAATATGATTTAATATTGCATTGTCTATTTCTGCAAAGTTTATAGTTATTGAATTGTTATTATATACGAAAAAACGATTTCAATTTATATCTAAGTATAATATTTTACTCATAATGGCTAAAATTAATACTGGTTTTATACATTAATACAGGCACTTAAACATTGTGAAAAATCTGAAGGTGACTTGAGAATTATAAAAAATATTCTACATGATCTTGGAATATCAAATATTGAGGATGAATCAATAGAAGATAGACTAGACAAAGTTCGTAAAAATATTATTTTGTTACATAAGAAGAGTGAAGATCTCACTTCAAGGAATTTAGGTTTGAAAGTCAACATTGACAAAATAAAAACGAAAACTGCATTATCAGAGGTATGTTTAAAAATTTAACTTTATTCTTTAAAATATAAATGTTACACTAATTAATTAATTTTTCATACAGTCAGAAAGAATTAAGTGCAAGAAGATTTTAATAAATTTAAAACATAATGCAAAAGCCATGAAAGAGGAGTGTGAAAGAAAAGAAGAATTAAGCAAAAACCTAAAAAATAAATATGAAAAATTAAAAGGAGGCAATAAAAGGTGAGATTTAAACTGATTAAAAATTTTCGATTACATTTTATTACTGATTTTACTTATTCTGATATTTAATTATAGACATGTTTATACAAAAAGAATACTTGAAATAATAGGCAATGTTGATAAGCAAAATATGGAAATTAGTAAGATACTTGAAGATACAAGAAAGATACAAAAAGAAATAAACACACTTGAAGGCCAATTAGACAGGTGTTTTACACTTGCTGATGAAACATTGTTTAAGGTACAACAATTTGTTCCTGTTTTGCTTTGATAGTATATATATTTAAGTAGTGATTTTATCACCTAATGTAATTATGACGCTACATATGTTCAGGATTTAATGGATGGAAAAATTATTATTAAGTTGATCATATGATTAACAGTAATACAATACAAAAGTTCAGTTTTGGAAAAATACTAAAGCAATATTAACAAGATTCAGATATTAAAATTCAATTTATGCTATAATTATTTGCAGGATGCGAAAAAAGACGATCAAGCAAAAAAAGCATATAAACTGTTAGCTCTATTGCATTCAGAGTGCAATACTATTGTAACCTTAGTAAATGACACAGGAAATTTGGCCAGAGATATTGTGGACCTAGAAGATAGTATTAAAGCTGAAAAGTCTAAAAGAACTGAAGACATATTACAAAAAATACAAATTGATCTTACCAACCTCCAAAAGGAAACTAAATAATATCAAGAAACTAAATGTTTAAATTTACTGTTTACTCAAATAAATATAGTCATTATATGTTACTTTTTTATTTACTATTCACAAAAAAGATTTATCTGCGTTTAGGTAAAATTTCAGGTGGAATATAATTTTCATCAGACATATTTTTCTTTGTCTTCTCTACTTTTGTATTAAACTTTTCTTTGCTTTCAATTTCCAATTCAATTTGTTCTTCATTTTCAAAAAACCATAATTTTTGCTCTTCCAACTTAAGTTCTCTCTGTTTTTCTTCAAGTTGTTCTATACGCTGAGCTCTGTCAAGTCTTTGTTTTTGTTCCTTTAATTTTACCTCCCGAGTATTAATCCATGATTCAAATAACTGTAAACAATATAAGGTCATTTTATTCAATAAATGTAACAAAGTGTCTTAATTTACCATGAACATGGTATGGTATATTATTCTATGTAGTAAATAACTTAGGTGTTAAGAGATACTGGGTACAAAGATACATTTGGGCATGTGTACAATGCTTTCCAACAAATAGCTTCACTGCTGACAGATGTTACAATAAATAGAATCATCAGAAACGATTGTTACATTTATTATTTAATGGAACAAGAATTTAAAAACTTGCTGCTGATCAATGCTCCATAAACAAATGCTTTAGAATTGGAATGAACAGTGCATTAGTAAACCTTCCACCTTCCCTCTGAAGGGTAATTACGAAAAAAAATGCACCTGAAACATTTCTACAACCTACAACAGATATAGATCACATTCAAACCAGAACACCAAATTGATCATGTGGGATGTTCTGTTGGAATATTTCAAGCACCCTAGCTACTGGCATTTGGTCTGGAATATGACAGTAGGGCCTGTAAGCCCATACCGCATATAGTTCTTTATAAAGGACTTCTCTTGCCTTTGATGATTTCAAATTAAAACAATGAAAAATGTCGCCGAATTTATATGTGGCTGACTCTATAATTTAAAAAGTATGCCTCTAGGCATAAGGACTTTCTCGTTGTATACAAGCCTTAGTATATAAGTATGTGCATATATATTATTTGTGCAAGTACACAAATATTCCCCAAATACATTTCAGGAAACCTCAATTAGTGGAAAATATATTCATCTGCAGTGCAATCAGAGCAAGTGTTAATAATTAAAATATAGAATTGGGAATACTAACTTGGAAAGAATTTTTACTTTCTATTTTATATTATACTCCTTTGCATACAAAAAAAAATTTATTTTTAGCTATGATATGCTGTTTAGTTTAATTTTTCACATAAATAAAATAAAATATAAAGTCTTTTTTGCTGCAAACAACAATTAATACATTCGCTAAGATTAAAATTTGTAGAAAAAGTATGAAACGATTACATCTGCTGTGGGAATCAAATCCACGTATTTGGCATTCGCGGCCTGAATCTTTAGCCACTAAGTTAAACGGCTTTTCATACTTTTTCTACAAATTTTAATGTTTAACCTTAATTGCAGAGATTAGTTCTATAAAAATTTCAATTTATTTGCTAAGATACTATGTTTACTATGGTGTTTGATTTGCAAAGCCAATGACTTTGTTACACATTTTTTTATAATTATATCCTCACTGTTTAGTTATATTATACTAAGTTCTTGTAATATGAAATATACTTGAAATTGACAAGGTCAATAATTTAGATTTAAAGTAAATTTATTGTGGGTGACACAAATCCTGTGTGGGAATTGAACCCACAGCCTCACAAACGGCACCAAAGACAAAAGGCTATGGTACTTTCATAGAAACCATTTATTCTACATGGGGAGCCGAAGCACAAACAGTGAATATTTTATTGGCAAATTTATTTTCAAACCTTTTGTTGGGACAGTATATCACGTTTCTGTGTTTTATTAATAGCATCTTCAACCAATTTCTTGATAGATTCTTCCAATACTCTTTCAGTCTTAGCACATTCATTTAGAAAGGTAATACAGTTTTCCAACATTGATTTTTCTTCTTCATTGCTTTTATTAGCTTCTTTCTGTATAATGTCAATAATTTCTTTAAAGACTTTAAAAGACTGTGTTTTATTCAGATTTTCACATAATGTCGATAGTATGTCATATTTTTTATAAAATAACCAACCTAGTATTTGTAAATTATTATTCATATTATCATTACTTCTTCTGGAAATTAAAGCCAAAGTTTTACCAGACAATACGGATAACTCTTTTATGTCAAAATGGTCATCAAAATAATAGTTTCTTAAAAACTTCACCCTTATTTTGATCTCTTCCTTCTTTGTATTCTCTTCAGGTTTTGGGGGTTCTGGGGTGGCATCAGCAAAATTAAGTAAATATTTAAAACAGGCATATTGACTCAGAGCACAAGTGATTTCATTTGTGAATTCTTCTTGTAACATTATAACTGCTGCAACATTAGCTGCTAATTCATAATTATTCGATGTTACAAGTTTATCTAGTAATATATTTGCTGCAAAGTCATCTAGAAATATACCAAAATTCAAAGGATCTTTAAGAATATGGACTAAATCTTGTAAATTTCCAAATTCAATATAACTTCTAACTGTAGCATGATGTGTGGATTCAAGCGTATTTCCAGTTTCAGCGGACATTCTCAGTTTGTGCAAAAGATCTTTAAGTTCGTCAAGATATGTCGGTTCTTTGATAGCATTAGCGAATATATCAACATCAATTGCGCTAATGACACCTTTTGAATTAAAATTTTGGTTTAATGTAGTAAAAAAATCGTTAAGATTTATAGTATTTAACACAGATGATGACTTTTGAGCATTCCAGGCTGTTTCACATTTATAATCGTTGGTTAAAAAAGAGCGTTTATGAATTTTTACATGAAAACTATATGTATTTAAGAGATACTTATTGCTGCGTCTTAACATACTGTATATATTTAACAAATACCGAATGACTGTAGGATCATTCACAATAATAATACTTGATAAAATATATTATAAAATAGTATAGGTTATGATTCAATTAAATTGCGAAGCTTTTCTTGTTGTCACTTTGTCAGTTGTCTTGTCAGTGACAGGACTTACAGGACTGATGACAGATAGTCAACTGACAACTTCACAACTGTTGGGCTGGCATCCGAGCGGAGTTGATCATTACATCAACAGATAATGTAATTCATTATTCGTGCGCAACCTACAAGAGAATCTGGCGAGAGCACTCAGGGCGCTCGCGTTTTTGGAGCGGCGTAAGTATTCTCGAAACCCATCTTATACCGACCTTAGCATCCCAAGATGAGATAGGATGGTTCAAATTTTCGTTTCAGGTACCCGAACCATTGCAGCTTCTTCTTCAGTCGGGCGTCTTCCAATATATTTTTGTCTACTTTCTCGATGATTTTTGGAGTGGTGGCCTCTATTGGCCGTCCGGAGCGATGGTAATCTACAATGGAGTCCCTGCCTTGCTTGAAAATGCCATACCACTTGTTAACAATGGTTTAAGGGGCAGAGTCAAGTCCCCGTAAACTGCTAACATCTTTTGGAAAATGGTTTGAGGTGATTTTCTTTGCTCGATAAAGAACTTAATGATGGCGCGATATTCAATTTTCTCCATAGTGGCTGATTTCTTCCCAATTGACTTGTTCACTGGTCGATAACTCAAAGGTTAATGACCCGATTATGTTCAAATTTGGTATTTATAACCTTAATGCGTATTTGTACTAGTGATTACCTTTATTAATTAAAGTACCCCCACCGACTATTTCATTCCGCGATGTGTCAATGTTATTGACACAATGTTCTTCTACATTCTCGGGTCTAAGAAAATTTGTGATAATTTTAACCTTGCTCTGTAATAGTTTTCTGCCCATTGACTGTAACTTCATGATCTAAAAATTTAGCTAAGCTAATGTTAAACCTAAGTTATTCAATCTATCAAATATTGCTTTTAAATGTGTTTCGTGTAATTAATTACTACAAAATTTTGAAAATTCTGGGATTACTTTCTTAAAATCTGACTCTGAATCCTATAGTACACAATTGTTCATAAAACGCTCTAAAGTTTTAAGCTCTTTTTTTAAAACCAAAACTTAAACGCGAAAATTCGAAAAGGCCAAAGTTTGTACAGACGGCGCGTTTATCAACGTCTTCGGGTGCAATTGATATAAAATGGTACGCCCTGTTTATGTGTTAGTGAAGAAGAAAGATGGTAGCACGAAATTTCGTGTAGACTATAGGCGTCTCAATGATGTCACTAAGAAGGACAGTTACCCATTACCTCGAATCGACGACCCTTTGGATACCTTGAGTGGCATGAAATGGTTCTCGACCCTAGACCTGAAATCTGGATACTGGCAGGTGGAAATTCATCCAAAAGACAAGGAGAAGACAGCTTTCTCGACCGGTAAAGGTTTATGGCAATTTAACGTCATGCCCTTCGGATTGTGCAACGCACCTGCCACATTTGAGCGACTCATGGAGTGTGTACTTGCAGGCTTAGTTGGAGAGGCTTGCTTAGTTTACTTAGATGACATCATCATTGTCGGCCGTGACTTCGAGGACCATTTGCGAAACTTGGAGCGAGTTTTCGCCAAAATAGAGGGAGCCAAATTAAAGTTGAACCCGAAAAAGTGTCGTTTATTCAGGAGCAAGGTCAACTATCTCGGCCATGTTATCTCCAATGATGGAATCCAGACAGACCCGGAGAAACTGGAAGCAGTTCAAAAATGGCCTACCTCTAAGGACAAAACCGAAGTGCGAGCATTCCTCGGCCTATGCTCATACTACAGGCGTTTTGTTAAAGGATTCTCAGAGATAGCCAAGCCATTACATCGACTGACAGAAGATAAACGACAATTTAGTTGGGATGGGACTTGTGAAGATTCTTTTCAGAAATTGAAAAAACATCTATGTGAAACACCAATCATGGGGTATCCACAATCTGAAGGTCAGTTTATAGACGACACGGATGCAAGCAACACGGCCATTGAGGGGTGTTATCTCAAAAACAGGGTGAAAGAGAAGTCGTTATTGCAAATTTCAGCAAATCTTTATCCAAGCCAGAGAGAAACTACAGTGTGACAAGAAGAGAACTCTTGGCTGTTGTAAAGACACTACAACATTTCAACAAATATCTCATCGGCAGACAGTTTTTACTGCGAACTGATCACGCAGCCTTGAAGTGGCTACTGCAATTCAAGAACCCAGAAGGTCAAGTAGCTCGATGGATTGAACAGCTCCAGGAGTATGACTTCAAGACAGAACACTGCAGTGGAAAGACGCATGGGAATGCCGACGCACTCTCACGAAGGCCGTGTTCAGAAGTCTGCAAACATTGCGTCAAACAGGAATCTAATGAAGTAACATTAAAGCTAACGAGAACAAGTCCTTTGGGTCTCTGGGAGAATGATGCTATGAGGGAGGCTCAAGAAAGGGATGACGACCTTCGGCACATCGCATGGAAGAAACGGGGTGACGTAAAACCAATCTGGAGTGAGGTTGCTCCCACTGGCGCCGTCACAAAGGCGTACTGGGCGCAATGGGACAGTCTGATACTTCAATACGGAATACTCTACCGGAAATGGGAGAAGACTAACGGCAGAGAGATCCATCTTCAGATAATTGTCCAGAATTGTACCAGATGTTCTCCGTGAAATACATGATGGCGTATCAGGATGTCATCTAGGTGTCAAGAGGACGTTAACAAAAGTGCAAGAACGATTCTACTGGTTGCACTGTCGAGATGATGTACAGGATTGGTGCCGCAAATGTACTACTTGCGCTGCTGTAAAAGGACCATAGACCGGGAACCTGCGGTTGTATAACCTGACCGGACCTGACCTGACCATTCGTACAACTGTAAAGACTGTTGCGTGGTCGTTTTAAGTTCAAAATATCTAATAAAAACTTATAAAAAGTGAAATTTTGTAAGTAGCCATTAAAAATTACTCTGAAAAATATGTTGTTTAATTTTAAACTTCGTTTGTACGAGACCTTAAATGGCTCATTTTCACTAACTAGGCACGCAAGGTCGTATCTTATCTAGCAGGGAGTAGCTCATTTCTTCTAAGTTTTCATGATTGTAAATAAGTTTTTAAATGATTCTGGTATCGTTGGAAAGGATATTTAATCTAGTCTATTTTAATATTGGTAAAGGAGATGTAAAGTTAAAGGGTTTTAGTCAAATGTTTTATTAAGAGATATCAGTTTTCATCACAGTTTTTCAACTTTAAATATATTTTTTAGAGTTGCAAATTAAAATTATAACTCTTGATTTTTAGATAATTAGATTGCTTAGTTATTCAGCTTATTAACTGTGATTCGTTTTTTTGGATAATATTTGTAGTTTGCGAACGGCAAGCATTTTTATCGCCAAAGTCGGAAGCGGTATAATGATATTTTATTTCTCGAGCTGACGCTGGCGCCTGACACCGACAACGCGTGGCGCTGGCGTGCCAGTGGGTATACAATAATGTTAATATTCTTTTTAAATTATCTTTTTTTTTGTTTAGCACTTAAATTTATTGTACAATCTATTTTTTCTTGGCAATAAAACGATTATTATTATTATTGGGGGGATATTCATTCGTTTTCTCCTCTGGTTGGTTTTTTATTAACATTATCCTGTGTTGTAAGGACGTTTGACAAATATAAATATCACGCGGACAAACACGCAGATGCGAAACAACTATCGGTGGGTCACTCAAATAGTTGTCCCGTGTGGCAGTCGAACCCACGACCCCCGACGCCGAAGCCAATACCTTGGTCACTGCGCCACGGAGCTATCACGGTGCTATTAGTGGTAAGAACTTTTGTAAAAACCTTATATACCTTGATTAGGTTTTCGATCGATTCATTGTTCGATCACTTGGTTCTCACACATATTGTTAAGGATATTGAAATAATGTTAAGTAAATTACGCGATCTGTATACCATAGATGAGATTTTAAATTTGGATATAAGATACTATTACATCATAATTACTAAGCTAATTATTCATATCATACTATTCTGAAAAAAAATCGTGGCCGTTCTCAAATTTCCCATCGTATCCATACTAATATTTAACCTGTTCAGACTATGTCCCGTAATAAGAATCATGAAGTTATCCTTCCTCCATATCCTTAAATAGCTACCACGTCTAGCGAGTTTGTATACATAGCGGCTGAATGCCTGAAGAT